GGGGGAGGGGAGGGGAGAGGGGAGGGCGCCGCGCCGGTGGCGGCATCGGGATGTGCGGCCCAACGAACAGCGCCGGCGCGACTGCACACGCGCGCGCTTGCCTGAGGGTTATCCGCTGCTGTTAACACTATTGTGCGCCCCCGAAAGGCCTCGGCACCGCACAGGAGAGCGGTGCCATGGTGAGTTGTGGGGCGGAAGAAAATCAACACCCTGCAAGGTTTTCGACTATGCCTCAATGTCCGCGTGATCACGCTCGCGGCTGCTATCAGCATTGTCACTCACATTGTGCCGCGTACGTTCGTATCGTGGGCCCGGGTTGCCTGCGCGCGGTTGGGGCGCGCTACGGTGGGTGCCTGCAAGCCGCGCTGCTGGTGGGCGCCGCGCCGCGCAACCGTCGCGCGGCGCAGGGTTTGGCTGCACACCGCCCTCTGCATGGTAAGCCTTGTTGCATTCATGCAATGCGCCATAATAGATGCAGCTGGGTGATCCTATTCACCTAGTCCGACGATCAGCCACGGCCCCCCATCGTCCGGCGCCTGCTTAGCCGCCGCCGCCTGTCTGCTCGCCGGCGGCGCCTTGACCGCCGCGCCTGCAGCCCTGCCGCCCGCGCCCACAGACGCGCACAGAGTTCTAAATAGGCGACGTGGAGCCCTGCCCATCGGCGCGCCGCTGCCGCTTGTGGAGGCCGTCGCTGCCCCTGGTGCTGCTGCCGCTGCGGCCGTGTCCGCACTCGCAGATGAGCTTGTCACCTCCGGTCTGAAAACATGCGAGAGAGGTGGTCTCATTGCCGCTGTGATGACGGATAGCGGGCGTCTGGGTGGCGCTTTGGAAGCGCTGAGCGCAGGGCGTTGCAAATAGTGCAGCATATGGCCTGCGGAGGAGAAAATGATCTTAGTTATCAATTTTTTCATTACACTGTGCCAGGGAAGGCATAATTGATGTTGCGCTTTGTTCGAATTTCGAAGGCAAGCGGACGTCTCTTCCACACTAGCGGTTCATGCAGTTGTGTGTGCATCATATTATACGTTGCTTGCATGTTCGCCTGCTCTTGCATGCTGCGGTACATGACAGGCACATTGTGCCGAAGCACCGTTGGTGCGGCAACTGCGGCCAGCTGACGCTGCTTCGACGTTTTTGAAATTCCATGTGGGGCTGCGCGCCCCGCATGCATGCACCTGCTGTGGGCAAGCCGGATCATTATCAGGACACACATACGCAGCCACATGTGTCAAACCGCCGCGAGGCTCGCCAACACCCACAGTCCAGGGGCGAGCCCCGAGTCCGAAACCCCACCCGCAGCGCCACCTGCGTCCCAAGCAGTGACGTGCGCCACCGGCGGCCTGCACCGCTGCTGCGCTCCCAAGTTCCGAGGAGAGGAGGGGAGTATGCGGTCTGTGAATTGAGGAAGGGAGGGCCGGCCGGCCCTTGCGGGGGCTGCGGGGGCCGAGACCCCCCACCAGGTGATGGGGAGGGTCACCGGCCCGCCTTGTCGCTCCTGAAGTATTGCGTCTGCGCTTCTTCCCCCAAACCCCCTGGGCCCTGTTCCATGGCTCAACAGCGATCCTGGACCGTGTGTTGTAGCATATTCACTACAGTACATGCGGGGGTGCGCAGCTGATCTGTTGCAATGTTTGGGTCGGGCCATTCTGTCGAGCCCGGTGGTGCCGGCCGAACGCGCCACTTATGGAGCCCAGACACCGGCAAGCAACCTCCATCGAGCGGGGCTGGCCACAGGCGCGTTTACATTTGTCGTGCTGCGGCGTTCGTGGTGCTTCCAGCGCATGCGCCCTTCGAGGCCACCCCGGAACACACAAGAGTGCGAGCAGGGCCGCCGTGGTCAGGGCACACACCAGCTGAAGCTGAGAAACAACCGCAACATCTGCAGCATGCTCAACGTTGGCGCGTGAGGCGTTGTCCGAGGGGGCAAGGTGGTTCGGTGCATCCCGCTGGCTGCGTTGAACCTGGGGTTGATCAAGGGCCCGTTGCTGGGGTTGACAGGCTAGGGCCCAGCTAGGCCCTGCCGTTGCTGCCTGTCCTTTTGAGGCGTGCTTGCTGTGTGCGCCCCTCTTGTTGTTGAGAGGACACGCTATTAAAACGTGCTTCATGATTTTTCAAAAAAATCAGTTGATAAATCGCGCCCCAGCTCGCTGGTGAAGATTATTCCAAGCGAGACTCGCGCTCGTGCGCCGCTATGCCAGCCGTGTAGGTGGCAGTGGCATCCGACGCTGCCGCCGCCAGCCATTCGCCCTGCACTGCGTGCCACTGTCGCTGCGCCCCTATGCTCCTTCGCCGCCTGCGGTATGCGCGGAATGGCCATAGCAAGCAGGCCGCCAGGGCCCATGGCCAACAAGGGCTCGGGCGTGGCGAAGGGCGGTAGAAGCTGCGCGCTGGAATTGCACTGCTCTGGTTGGGGTTGCTAGTGGTGGTGGTGGTGGTGCTGCTGCTGCTGCTGCCGGGGTTGCTTGCTGCCGCTGGGCCGGGTGCTGCTGCTGGTGGTACTGTGCGCTGCGTACGCCGCCCGGGGGCGGCGCGCCGTCCTGCGAGCGCCACACCGTCCCCGCCTAGCAGGTCGCCGTGCGCCGGGCCACAGCAGCACAGGAGTTGCCTTTTGTCCAGAGCGCCGCGTGAGAGCAGGTGCTGGTCCCATCAAAGGATCTGGTCGGCCTGAGGGTGGAGGCGTGTATGCCAGGGGAGCAGGTCAGGAGTCAACAGAGTGGGTGTGGAGTGACGTTTCATCAGACCCCTGCGTGCGCCAGCCCGGCTGCATGCGCCCTGTTTACGGCTTGGCCCTTCCTAATGCTTGCTGCCTTATCCCCAACCTTTGATTGCCTGTTTGCGAGGGCTGCCCGGGTTCGTGCTTGGGTGGGCTGCGCCGCCCTTGTCACCTGCAATGTGTCTATTCTGGCCCCCTGCAGCACGCCCTCCTCCTCTGCGCTGGACCCGTCGCGGGGCCGCTTGGCGCCGCCGCGGCGGCTGTCGGCCGTGAATTCCTCTCTGGGGATCAGGTCATTTGCGTCGCGCCTGGCGATGGCGTCAAAGGACGTCCTCTCTCGAATGGCCTTGAGGGCGAGGCCGGGGATCTCCAGGTGGAGGGGGTCCACCTTGCCTGTGGCCCTGTCCACCAGGCCGTAGCTCATGCCGTGCTCCAGGTTCGCCGCGGGCAGCAGGGGGAACGCCACCACGCCGCCCCAGATGAGGGGGCGCGGGGGCCTGCACGGGACGCTGCGCCGGCCGTCGACCCAGGCTGAGAAGACCTTTTCGACGTCGCGGTGGGTCTTGAGGGGGACGCCAACGAGGACGCGGCCGCAAGTGTGCCCCAGGGTGCGCGGGTGAGGGGCCTGCGTGTTGACCGTGATTCCGGCGGCCGCCAGCTTGGCGAGGCCCTGTTCGATGACGTCCTTACGCACGCGGCCCTGGGGCAGGGCGAAGGCCACCATGAAGGGGATCTTGGGGGCTGCCAGCTCGCCCTCCCAGGTGTCGGCGGAGCGCTCCAAGTGGCGCCCCTCGACGGCTGCCTTGCTACTCATGGAAGGCTTGCTGGCCTCGTCGGTGGGTGGAGTTGAAGTATTACTCGTTGGACAGGGTGCACATCGCGTCGGGGTTGGCAGTGGTGGGGGTCGCAGTGCATGCCGAGTTGGCGCAGCTGTTGCCGCGACTGATCTGCATCAGCGGCGGCATGTCCGCGGGCAGCAATGAGCTTATGATAGTCAGGATGACCTTTGAAGATATTCTGCACAGACTTATTGCGGTTCATGAGCAAAGGCATAATACATGTTCCGCTTTGTTCAGTATTTGAAAGATCACGCACGTCTCGTCCATCGGTGTATGCAGTGGTGTGCATGCAGTGGTGCGCGCGTCATGTACAACATCTCGTGCGCTGCTCGTAGGTTTGCATGCTGCGGTCAGACTAGTTCAAAGCGGCAAACCACAGTTGATGCGGCAACTGCAACCAGGAGATGCTGAATTGACCTTTCAGTGATTCAAATTTGCACCCGGATCTCTTCTGTATTTGCTAAAGCGGTGTATTGGGGAGAAATGCCCCGCATGCATTCACCTGCTGCGGGCAAGCCGGCAAAATCAATGCCGCCTAACCCCGGCGTCACGCCTCCGGCATCCCTAGCAGCGACGAGCGGTACCTCCCGCCTGCACCGGGGCGGCTGCGTCCCCGTCACGGTCACCTGAGTTGATGCTGCACCACCCGGAAGCGCCCGACCGCTGATGCAAGCGCAACCTCGCCCTTGGACGCCTCTTTACCACCACCCTTGAGTGCAAAAGCAAGAAAGGTTACAGCCGGCCAGCAGTATATCGCAGATTGTGTTCATATGCATGCAGCAAGCAAACACAAGAAAGGGGCAGACGCCGCAAGCGCTTTTCGGCCACCCAGCCTAAGCCAAAACCTGCCGCCGGCGGCGTTCTATGCACACGCCGCCGCCTGGCTTGCCAGCGCCAGGGCGACGCTGCGCGGCCCGCTAGCAGATACTGTCACGGTCAAAAGTGAGGGGTCGGTGATGCATAATAACAAAGCAAGCAGAGTGCAGCCGCGCGTGTCTACGTAAAGTCACACCCTGGAACCTGCTGCCGACGCGAGGCAGGCCCCGCGCGCGGGGACAGGGGCCAAAAAGGGGCAGGCAGCAGGCAGAGAGCCCGCCGCGCGGAGGCAGGACGCAAAGCGTGCGCGCTCGGGCGCCGGAGCAACAGGGGTGTGGGTCATGTGATGCCTTGTCACCAGGGAGGGTGGGTCACAAAGCCGCTGTCCACCTGCACCAAGCCCCTAAAGGAAGCCCACGCAAGGGCTCCGCTCTCCAAATGGGAGACGTCCGCGAGATCGCACGCCCCACCCCGCCGGCCCCGCCGCGCCGCCGCCCCCCCCCGCCCCCTCTCTCACACTTCAAGCCAGCGCCTCCGGCGCCGGCTGCTGCTGCTCCTGCTGCGGCGGCTGCGG